AAGTAAGCCAGAGATCATAAAGATGGTGCAAGATAAGGCAAGGTTCAGAGCTGTTGCTCATAAGATTGATGAGTCATAGTCAATTTGGCGGCACCTAACAACAACAATCATGGTGGTGGGAGGAATTTAAGAAAAGGGTTGAGTGGAGGAAATGATAGAGAAAGGCTAAAATTAAACTGGAAGGAACTAATCTATAATGGTAAATACAGGTGGTGGTACAGTGACTGGCTGGAAAGTATGTTTATATAAGTAAACTGCTCAAATGGCAGCGCCCTTTTCACCTGCATCAGTCTAGTGTGGGTAGTCATGAGCACCACCTCTTCTTCATTGTAATTACATCACAGAAAGACATTCTTTCCTGTTCTTTGCTGCATATGATGAGGCCTTACATAACGTTTTTGCATAAAGAAGGCTGGCTGATACTGTACTCTTTTTGAGTTCAAGCAGTCTGTTTCCAATGATGCATGTGGCCTCCCTTCTGCTACCCTTTTAAATAAGCAAAGAATGTACAGGGAAAATAAGAAAACAAAGTCTTAGTCTTGATTCCATCACTTACTGTCCATTACACTAGTCATGTCACTTAATCTCCTGAATTGTTTCTACATCCATAGATGGGGTTAGCCTTCCCACTTCATGGAGTGGTCATGAAAGGATATATAGAAAAGTGATTTATATCCTACACAGTGCTGTGCAAATCTTAGAATCTCCAAGCAGCAAGAGTCTTTAGAAACTATATAGTACCAATTTTTTTTTTTTTACATACTCATATGTAAGAAAATTGAGATTCTGTAAGTTTAAATGACTTCATTTAGATTGGTGGTTCTCAGGCCAGGCTGCACTGAGAAATCACTTGAGAAGCTTTTTTTGTTTAGTTTTTGAAACATCTGAATATCCAGCACCAGACTAGTCCTTAATATTATTATTTTCTGTGTTATTTTTAGCCCTAAACTGTAAGAGAATAAAAAAAGACCTCATCTACCTAAAAATTAATATATATATATATATATACACACACACACATTTTTTTCTAATGAAATGTTTATGTCTATGAAAATAGCAGCAATTTACAATAAAGAGGAAATAAACAAAAACAATCGCTTGGCATCAACCTAGGCTCACTCTCATTGCCTCTGAACTGCTTCCAAGTCACAGCTGAGCCTGCCGGGAATTTCCAGGGCTTAAATCTCATGGGAGGAGACTGTCCATCTTTCTCTTTCCAGACAGCATAGACTCTGGGTTAGCAGCACAATTCTCTATACCCTATGCTACCAGACCATTATATGAAAATCTTACAGGGATGGAGTTTACCAGGTAGTTTCTAAAAGTTCTTTTCAAACACATAGAGGCCTGAAAGCAGCTAACTAGATAAAATTTATCCAGAGTGGAATCAGGTAGAGAGGCCTACTCTCCTGGAAACAGTGGCAGAGAGGAAGCGCAAGCGTGCGTGCGAGAGACATACATAGAGGTACACGTCTATGATGCCCATTGGAACACAGTTTCAGGAGTCCTTTGGTAAAGCTGTGCAGCAACCAAACTGCTTAAGTAGGGGGAATGAGTCATCTGTCTAGTGATATCTAACGCAGAGTAAGTCCTAGTTTCCTGGCTTTTCTTGCTTGACAGCCACCCACTCCTGGTCTCAAAGCCCGACCACAATTCTCAAAACTTGTCAGTAAAAATGTTCATAATTACCAAAGCAGAAAAAAAAGTTCTTTTCATCAAGAAGTGACTGTGAACTCAGAAGCAACCCCAAAACAGGAGGAGTCAGAGATGTTGATGGTAAACTTTACAGGAGATCTTTAAATATTGTAAAGAAACTCACTGGGCCAGTGCTTCTTAGTCTGAGATATTTACTAGAAGTGCATGAATGCCCCATAGTAAGTTTTGAAACTATTTTCATTTTTGGTATAACCTAAAAAAAATGAGATAAGCTTTGCTCAGATAATATGTGAGTATTTTATATACAAGAATTTTAATGTCTACCTTTGCATTGCCATTCTACTGGTGCTAAATAGTTTGCCTATAATTGACGTGATTGATGAGAAAAGACCAGGGGGAATGTGACATATAAATGAGGCATTTGTATGGAATAAGGGCCACTGATGTCACCTCTACTTAACTGCAAGAAATGCAGCAGTTCCAACAGAGAAAAGAGGAGGGAAAATTGAGTCAGCCCTGGGCACACTGCAGACAAGCATAAATCTTTGCTACTGTAGTCACACCATCATACTGATCCCTGTGAGTGTGAATCCACCTTTGCAACAAAAATGACTTTCCATGGGTAAGATGTTAACTGTTGTTGTTATGTGCTGTCGAGTCGCTTGCGACTCATAGCGACCCTATGTACAATAGCCCTAAACTCTGCTCTGTCCTGTGCCAATCACACTGTCCCTGACACTCCCATCCCAATTACCTCAGTCACTGAATCAATCCACCTCATAGAGGGCCTTCCCCTCCTGCACTGTCCCTCCACCCACCCAAGCATGATGTCTTTCTCCAAGGACCGGTCCCTCCTTACAACATGTCCAAAGCATGTCAGACGAAGCCTCAGAATCCTTGCCTCCAAGGAGCCACCCAGTTTGACCCTTTCCAGGATGAATCTGTTTGTTTTCCTAGCAGTCCATGGTACCCTCAATACTCTTCTCCAGCACCACAGCTCAAAGGCATCAATTCTCCTTCTATCCTCCTTAGTCATTGTCTGCCTGTATCAGACGCACCTTAGTCTCCAGAAAGAAACCATTGCTCTTCAGTACTTTGGAGAGGTCCCCAACAACAGACTTTCCCATCGCAATACATCTTTTAATTTCTGGGCTACTGGTGCCAAGAGTTTTGACTGTGGAGCCAAGAAAACGAAATCTGTGAACAATCTCAATCTCTTCACCATTCATCCTGATGCTGCCAATTGGCCCAGTGATAAAAATCTTTGTCTTCTTGACATTGAGCCTCAATCCATATTGGAGGCTGCAGTCCTTGACCCTCTGCAGCAAGCGCTTCAGGTCCTCCTCAGTTTCAGCAAGCAGGGTTGTGTCATCTGCATATCGCAGATTGTTGATAGATCTTCCACAAATCCTGATGCCGCATTTCTCCTCATAGAGCCCAGCCTCCCGGATGATCTGTTCTGCATACAGGTTGCAAAGGTTTGGAGACAGGTCACATCCCTGGCGTACACCCTTCCCAATTTTGAACCATGCAGTGTTTCCTTACTCTGTTCTGATGACTGCCTCTTGGTTCAAGTATAAGTTTCGCATTAGCACGATCAAGTGTTCTGGGATTCCCATTTTTCTCAGAGTCACAGTTTGTTATGATCCACACAGTCAAATGCCTTTGCATAATCAATGAAACACAGATAGACATTCCTCTGGTACTCCCTGCCTTCAGCCAAGATCCATCTAACATCAGCTACAATATCCCTAGTACCACGACCCCTTCTAAACCCAGCCTGGACTTCTGGCAGTTCTCTGCTGATGTGTTGTTCCAGTCATTTTTTGATAATCTACAGTAGAATCTTGCTTGCATGTGAAATCAATGATATTGTTCTATAGTTTCCACACTCTGTGGGGTCACCCTTCTTTGGGATGGGAACAAATATAGATCTCTTCCAGTCAGTTGGCCACGTGGTTGTTCTCCAGATTTCTTGGTACAACTTGGTGAGCACAACCAGGGCAGCATCTGTTAACTGAAATATGTCAATTGGTATACCATCTATTCCTGCCTTATTTTTTGCTATTTTCTTCAAAGCAGCTTGAACTTCTTCCTTCATCACCATAGGCTCTTGTTCATATGTTTCATGAAATTCTTCTGTGTCTGCCAATTCCTTTCGATACAGCAACTCAGTATATTCTTTCCATCGTCTTTTAATACTTCCTGCATCATTTAATATTCTGCCGAAAGCATCCTTGATTATAGCAACTTGAGGTTTGCATTTGTTCTTCAGTTCCTTGAGCTTAAGAAATGCTGAGTGAGTTTGGCCTTTTTGATTTTCTGACTCCAACTCCTTGCACATTTCATTGTAATATTTTATTTTATCATCCCATGCTGCCTTTTGAAATATTCTATTCACCTCTTTAGTATCTTGAATTCTTCCTTGTGCTTTGGCTTCTCTGCACTCCTACTAACATAATATTACTGTTACATGTAACAGTGGAAGGAGGTGGAGGTGAACAAAAAGAAGATGGCCTGGTGCCTTCAGGAGTAGGAAACAAAAAGCCAAAACAACAAAAACTTTAGGGGTAGGGGTGGAAAGGGGAAGCAGAGAGACTATATAATGGAGAAAATTGTAAAAGCAGTGTTACACTGTTATAAGTAAGGGTACCATACCAAGAGCTGTTCCTATCTGACCCAGAACTCTAGGAATCCAGTCTGTGAAGTCTGAGAATATAGTCTTAGAGCAGGTCTAATAGTGAGGGTGGGCAGAGTGGGAGGGAGAAGCTACTTGCTAGTCTGTGAAATGGTGATGACAAATGCCTGGTGATGACCCATATTTTGCTGGGTGAATCACTATAATGATATTTCCATAGCAGTGGTTTGGATACCTGGAGGTAGATGTTCATGGGATCTGATTCACATTTCATGAATGAGAGAAGATTCAAGAACAAAAACACACAATAATTTATGTGATTTCAGGGACCTCACTCATTCCTTTTGACTTTAGGGGAAAACTAAGCTTTATGTCATCAAAATACCAATGTCATATATGAACTAAATTAGCAATACACTAGTGTTTTCTAGGTGGATTCACCCAGCTCAGGAATCACCTTTTGGGAGATGAAAGAAAGTAAAAGATCAAGAGCATTAACGTTTCTGAGACTAGATGAGGAACAAGGAAAAGGAGACGCAGGAGTTGTGCAACTCTGCCCCTGGGGAAGACGGGCAGAAAGTAGGGGAGAGGACATGCAGCTGTAATAGAAGGGCACCTGAGAAACAACTGAGCAATTCCATCATTACAAAGATATTGACCTAGCCATTTAAATATAAAGTTAAAGATACATGGATTAATAACTCACCTTACTCCAAGCATAATTCCAGGTTACAGAACTGTCACCTCCTAGGAGATCCTTAAGCCAGGTAAGTGGATTTTGATAAATCTGACCACTTTCTGCCTTAATTTTGCCACTCAATAAAATACTGGCTTTGTGAGTAGTTTCCTTCAGTAAAAGAGAAAACACAGATTAAAAATAAGCTGTTTTTATCTATAATCATGAAGTTTTGAAATCAAATAATATAAATATGTACACGATTTAAACAGCCACTTCACAAAAGTATTCAGAGTAAATAAAAACATAAAAAGATGTTCAACATATTTGATTATTAAAATGCATATTAAACCACAATGATTAATCATGATACACATGTTGTTGTCATGTGCTGCTGAATCGCCTGTGACTCACAACGACCCTGTGCACAACAGCCCTACACCCTGCTCTGTCCTGTGCCAATCTTATTGTCTCCGACATACCTATCCCCTTTACTCCAGTCACTGAATCAATCCACCTCATCAAGGTTCTTCCTCTCTAGCACTGTCCCTTTACCCTCCCAAACATAACCTCCCTCTCCGAGGACAGATTCCGCATTTCAACATGTCGAAAGCATGTCAGATGAAGCTTCAGAATCTTTTCCTCCAAGGAGGCTTCACCCTCTCCAGGATGAACCTGTTTGTTCTCTTAGCAGTCCATGATATATTCGATACTCTTCTCTAGCATCACAGCTCAAAGTCATCAATTCTTCTTCTATTCTCCCTAGTCATTGTCTAGCTTTCTGATGCATAGCAAGTAACTGTGAAGACCATGGCCTGAATCAGGCACACATTAGTCTCAAAACTGGCATCGCTGTTCTCAATACTCTGAAGAAGTCTGACAGCAGATTTTCCCAATGCAATTCATCTTTTTATTTCCTCGCTGCTGGCACGAAGAATGTTGATTGTGGGGCCAAGCAAACTGAAGCTGTTAACAATCTCTTCACTGTCCATCATGATGCTACCAATTGAACCATAGTGAGAATCTTTATTTTCTTGATACTGAGTTTCAATCCATACGTAAGGCTGCAGCCCTTGACTTTCAGCAGCAAGCACTTCAGGTCCTCCCCAGTTTCACCAGGCAAAGTTGTATCATCTGCATAAAGTAATCTGTTGATGAGTTTTCCTCCAACACTGATGTTACATTCCTTCTCATAGAGCTGCGCTTAACAAATTGGCTCAGACATAGGCAAACAGGAACATTTGAGGTTCTGAGATCTTGTCGTTAACCTGCCTCAAATCTATTGTTTGGAAATTTAAAATATTATGTTCTGCATATAGACTGAAAAGGTATAGAGATAGGACACATCCCTGGTGTTTCCTTGATCTGTTCTGATGACTGCTTTCTAGTCCAAGTATATATTTCACATAAGCACAATCAAGTGTTTTTGGATTCCTATTCTTCTCAGAGTTAGCTACATATTGTATGACAATTACATGTCAATAAAACTATTATAGGAAGAAAACCTGCTAAAATATGAACATTTTGTTATATCCTACCTAGAAAAGGAACCTTAACTGTCAAAATTTGAATTATTATAATTAATTTACTAAGAAAAATGTCACTTGCCTTGCGTAATCTGAGGTAGCTGTGCTTAACAAATTGGCTGACACATAGGCAAACAGGAACACTTGAGGATCTGAGATCTTGTCACTAACGTGGCCTCAAATCTATTGTTTGGAAATTGAAAATATTTTATTCCTAACCTATAGATAAAGCTGAGTGATGCAAACAGTGAACATCTTTGGTTATTAACCTAAAGATTGAATGTTTGTGTTCATTCAGAGGCCCCTGAAAGAAGTCCTAGAAATCTACTTCTGAAAAATCCGCTACTGGAACCCGAGGAAGCCTGACACACTTAGGTTAACCCTGAGTCAGACATGCCTTTTTTAAAAAAAATATAGGAAAGCCTTCTTATGCAGATATGGAAAGAATTAGGAACAGAACTCATTGGAATTAACTTTCAGTTAGCCTGGATTAATTTCTGTTGGACTGCTCCATAAGCAAAAAAGCATTCAAGGACTCTGCAAAACTTGCAACTCTGAATTAAAAAATAAAATGCGGAGAAAGGGGAGAGATAGCCTCCTTTGTAGGCATTTCATGTTCAGCCAATTTTCAAGTCACTCCTTGGTTCTAAATTAAACTTCTATGGAAGATTAATTTATACTTATCCCTTTGTTAAACGATGCTTTAGCAGAACACCGGTAGAAGCCAAAACTGGACCCAAATACTCTTCCAAGTCATTATTTTATATTGTTTTTAAGTCTTTGCTTCTGAAATATAAGTTACAAGTTCTATTCTGGACTCTGAAAGGGAGGTCTGGTGATATAGTCAATAAGTGTAGTGCTGCTAACTCAAAAGGCAGCACTTCTGGCAGTTTGAATTCACCTATAGCTCCTTGGGAAAAGTTTTCTTCCGTGCAGTGTACAGCCTCAGAAAACCTGCTTTAGGATCAGCTATGAATCAGTTCTAACTTGGCAGAAACAAATTTGAGTTTGGTGGGTTTCTTTTTCTTTTGTTTTCGGTTTTATTTCTACTCTGAAGCATGATTTCACTTGCTAAAAATGTAATGATGTGGCCCTTCAGTCAATGAGTCTGGAATTGATACCTTTGAGTTGTGGTGCTGGAGAAGACTATTAAACATACCACAGACTGCCAAGAAAACAAAAAAAGGTCTGTCCTGGAGAAAGTGAGATAAAATTTCTCCTTGGAGGAAAGGATTTGGAAGCTCCATCTCACATACTTTGGGCACATGGCCAGGAGGGACCAGTCCAGGAAGAAGGACATCATGTTTAGAAAGATAGAGAGTGTCAGCACAGGAGAGGAAGATGCTGGATAAAATGGATTGACACAGTGACTGAGGTAGTGGAGTTAAGAAGTGTTGAAGACAATGAGACTGGCGCAGGAAAGGACAGGGTTCAGAGCTGTTGTATACAGGGTTGCTATGAGTCACAGACAACTCAATGCCACAAAACAACAACAAAACCTATTTGTCTAATCAGCTGAATATCTAGTCTGTGTGACAGTAACAATTATTCATAACATTTACATGACTTTTAAGGGGAAAAAGAAAAAAAATAGGATACCTGTGTTTTGAATTCCAGAATGTTATTTCCAGGATGAATTTTCCCTAGTAACATCAGATCCTTTATCTGCATGCATTTCTTTTTGGGAGCTGCATTGTATCGTAATGATCTTTTTGCAGTATGTTGAGAGCCAGCCCCAGAGGTGGAGATTTGACCGTTACTGGCAAATGGAACAGAAGATGCTAATTTTTTAAGACATGGTTTCATCTGATGCACAGAATCACTGAGCCAGACAGCAGTTTTCTGGTGTGCTAGGAATTCGAATGCTGCTCTAGTTGGCTGCTGGGAAACAGTTTTCTTGCTTCCTCGTTTTGGACCATATTTAGAAGGGACTTGGTCACAAATAACAGTTGATGGACGGACAAGTGTATTTTTGACTTCTGGAATATTTAAGGTGCCTGTAACTACAGAACAACTGTAGGAACCACCCTCTTTGGCTGCAGTTTGTAGATGGTCATTTTCTTTTTGTGAATAAACTGCCTGAGCAATAAAGGAAACATGCTGTGGTGGTGATTTAACCTTCTCAGCGCTGTCCAATTGACTGGATCTGGATAATCCATCTAAGGCACAGACACCCATGTTCTGTTCCAAAGTCACTTCATTATCAGAAGACTCTTCCCTTCTCACTGCTTCTGAATTTAGGCAAATGTTGTTATTTTGGCTGTCATTATGTACTGTAAGCCAGGTTTCCTGAGACAATTGTGCTTCTTGTGTGTCTCTACAAACAAGACTGTCAGGGCTAAGTGAACCTGAGGGGATCTCTACAGATTTTTCCAGACTGGTGAGCTTTGGGCAATCATCTCCACTAGGCATTTCTAGGCTAGAAGGCAGTTTCCTCAAACTACATCCAGGCAATGATGTGTCATTCTTATAGTCTTGAAATTTCAGGCTTATTTTTTTCTGGTTTTTTGCCACAACTAAAAGGCTTTTCTGCCTTGTAGCCAACTTGGTCAATTGATCTCTTAGGGCTCCATGCTTAAATGACTCTCTGGACAACCTGCAGTTAAAAAAAAAAAGAGAGAAAACCTTTTTAAAACCCAGAAAAATGTAAATAAACCAGTATAATTTTTTTAAAAAATGTTGAATTAATAAACATTTTATTATACTTTGTATCACAATAAAGCAATTCTTTTTAAAAACCCATAAAAACAAAACAAACCAGGGAAAAACTTGCTCTAAATAATTACTTAGATGTTAAAGATACTATTTTGTTTTAGTTTTAAATTTCATTAGCTTGGATAAGATAATCAGCTCAATTTAAATGTAAAAGTACACATGTATCTATATTTGCAGTATATCTCCTTTGAGAAGAAATGCACTGCTTTAGTTAAGTAGGTTTGTTGTCCCCCACCCCGCCCCCAGGCAACTATGATTACCTAATTATATTCTCTATCATTATCACTTGTGCATCAATCCTAGGAGAAAAACAAAATGCACAGTATGTCTAATCATCTTATACACATATAAAAGATAAACAATATATAAAGAAGACCAGAAAGAAAAAACTTCTGTCTTCCAATTATGGGATTGCTGATTAATACGGGATGCTTAATACACAAACCTGTCTTAGAAGTACAGAGAAAATGCTCCTTAGATGAGAGGACAGTGAGACTTAAACTCCTGTATTTTGGGCATGTTATCAGCATGGCTCAGCTGTAGGACGAGGATATCTAGCTTGGTAATGTAGAGGGTCGACAAAAAGAGGGAAGACCGAAAGAAAGGAAAAAGAAAAAAAAAAAAAGAGGGAAGACCCCTCAATAAGAGGTACATATGCTGCATTAAACAATAGGCTCAACATGGAAAGGACTGTGAAGATACTGCAGGAGCAGCCTGTGTCTCTGTTGTAAACAGGGTTGCTATGAGCTGGAGCTGACTTAATTACACCTAACTACAACAATATTTAGTTATTTAAGGAGCTTTGATGGTGTAATGCCTTACGTGTTGGGTCATTAACTTTTTAGTTTTAACTTTTTAGATCAGTGGTTTGAATCCACTAACTGCTCTGTAGAAATACAGGCACTGTTGTAAAAATTTGCCATGTCAGAAACCTAATGAATTGATGCAAAGGCTATATAGGTTTGGGATTCTGGCTATTTCTCACTGATGTCAAGTCAGTTCTAACTCCACAAACCTCCACTGTGTGTCCAAGGTTATAAACTATAATGGGAGAAGACAGCTCATCTTTCTGTCTCATTTAATTATTCAGCTATTAATCCTTTAGCAGCAACTGGTGACTGAAGAGAAACACATTATGAAACAAATTCTATGAACGAAGTAGAAGGTTGTTGTTGTTGTTATATGCCATCGAGTCACTTGCAAATCATAGTCAACCTATGTACAATGGCCTTGTACCCCATTTAATTCTGTTCCAACCTTATTGTCTCTGACACACCTACCGCTATCACACCAATCACTGAATCAATTCATCTCATCAAGGGTCTTCCTTTCTTGCACTGCCCTTCCACCTTCCCAAGCATGACGTCCCTCTCCAAGGACTGATCCCACCTTGCAATATGTCCAAAGAATGTCAGACGAAGCTTCAGAATCCTTGTCTCCAAGGACAAGGACCCTCTCTAGCACAAATCTGTTTGTTCACTTTGCCATCTGTAGTATAGTCAATATTCTTCTCCTGAACCACAGCTCAAAGGCATCCATTCTCTTTCTATCATCCTTAGTCATTGTCTAGCTCTCTGATGCATAGCAAGTAACTGTAAAGACCATGGCCTGAATCAGGCACACCTTGGACTCTAGACTGATATTACTGCTCTTCAGTACTTTGGAGAGGTATCTGACAGCAGACTCTCCCAATGCAATTTCTTGGCTGCTGGTACCAAGAGTGTACAATGTGGAGCCAAGCAAATTGAAGCTTTTAACAATCTCAATCTCTACAACATCTACCATGATGCTGCCAATCGGCCCAGTGATGATAACCTTTGTTTTCTTGATATTGTACTTCAATCCATATTGATGGCTGTAGCCGTTGACCTTCTGCAGCAAGCGCTTCAGTTCCTCCTCAGTTTCAGCAAGCAGGGTTGTGAAGGTGTCTTAGGAAAATTAGGGAGGAAGTTCAACTGAAGTGTCTCCTAATCATGGAGCAGTACATTGTTCTAAGAATAACCATACCTCAGCTATGTGTAAGACATGTCAGATCACCAACTAATTACTGCAATTTTATTTTGCCCTGTAGAGGCATTTTCAGGTCCAGCAGTACCACCGAGACAGTAATTATTCTGTGTGCCCTCCCAAGGCCAATTTCTCAGGGGCTTGACTAAGAGATAATAAATTGTTCACTCGGCCTCTTCCATACATCTCTCATTTGTTTATCCTTACCCACCCTACAGGGCTGCAGGCTAATACATTTCTAGCTGTTGTTAAAACTTTATCTCTTTTCATACTCATAAAAATTATTGAAGATCTTAGAGATCTTTTTGTTTTGTTTTTGTGGGTTATCAGTATTAATCTAGCGATATACATGCTATTTTATTAACCATTAGTGTGATAATGTCATACCACGTGGTTTCTGGAAAATGCCATTGTACATTCATGACAGAATAAGAGCCAAAACCCAAATAATATCTTCTTGTTGATTGCCAATGAGTTGAGCACTACTCATGGAGACCCTAGTAACAAAAGACCTGAAGACTTTCTTTAACTCTCATCACTTAGTACTAAAACCCCAAAAGTATGGTGATTAAAGTACTTGATTGCTAATTATAATATCATTGGTTAAAATACACCAGCCAATCCATGGGAGAAACATGTGAGAAACCCAATGAGGCAGTTCTATTCTTCCCTACAAGATTACTATGAGTTGGAATCAACTTGACAGCAATGAGTTTGGCTTTTAATTATTAAGAAAATATTGACTTCACCTAAAGTTTAATTGTATTTTCTTGACTATATAAAGTCTTCTGCCTAGCTGGAGAATAATGAGTGATGGATAACCTTGAGAGGAACTGAATTCCAGAACACTTAAGTTTACTCATGCTGAACCTGTAACACAGACCAAGACAAAGCCATTCACACAGAGCAAGGGGATAGTGCATGATTTAAAGTGTATGTCAAGATTATACCTTTCACCATACCTATTACATCTCTTATGCTGGACAAATAATCTGAGAAGATGGACTATATGCATGGCATCAGGATTAGTGGAAGATCCATTAATAACCTATGACATGCAAATGAAACAACTTTGCTTCCTGTGTTTCATTTATTATGCAAAAGAATCTGACTGTGTGGATCATAACAAACTGTGGCTGACTCTGAGAAGAATGGGAATCCCAGAACACTTGATTGTGCTATTGCGGAACCTATACTTGGACCAACAGGCAGTCATCAGAACAGAGCAAGGAAACATGGCATGGTTCAAAATTGAAAGGGGTATATGCCAGGGATGTGTCCTGTCTCCATACCTTTTCAATCTGTATGCTGAATAGATTATCCGGGAGGTTGGGTTCTATGAGGAAAAACGTGGTGTCAGGATTAGTGGAAGATCTATCAACAATCTGCGTTATGCAGATGATACAACCCTGCTTGCTGAAACTGAGGAGGACCTGAAGCGCTTACTGCAGAGGGTCAAGGATTGCTGCCTCCAATACAGATTGAGGCTCAATATCAAGAAGACAAAGATTCTCTCCACCGGACCAACTGGCAGCATCAGGATGGATAGTGGAGAGACTGAGATTGTTCACAGCTTTAGTTTGCTTGGCTCCACAGTGAACACTCTTGACACCAGCAGCCAGGAAATTAAAAGACATATTAGAATGGAAAAGTCTGCTGTTAGGGACCTCTCCAAAGTACTGAAGAGCAATGGTGTCTCTCTAGAGACTAAGGTGCATCTGATACAGGCTATGGTCTTTGCAATCACTTTTTATGCATCAGAGAGTTGGGCAATGACTCAGGAGGATAAAAGGAAAATTAATGCCTTTGAGCTGTGGTGCTGAAGAAGAGTATTGCGTGTACCATGAACTGCTAAGAAGAGTACTGCGTATACCATGAACTGCTAAGAAAACAAACAGATTCATCCTGGAGAGGGCTAAATCGGGCTGCTTCTTGGAGGCAAGGATTCTGAGGCTTCGTCTAACATACTTTGGATATGTTGTATGGAGGGACTGGTCCTTGGATAGGGACATCATACTTGGGAGGTGGAGGGCGGTGCAGGAGGGGAAGGCCCTCTATGAGGCAGATTGATTTAGTGACTGGTGTAATTGGGATGGGTGTATCAGAGACAGTGCGATTGGCACAGGACAGAGCAGAGTTTAGGGCTGTTGTACATAGGGTCGCTATGAGTCGCAAGCTACTCAAGAGCACATAACAACAACAACATAGCTTTCAATATGCCCTGCACTGTAACATACAAAAAACAAAAATCCTCGTGGACCAGTGAACATCATCATGATGAATAGAAACAAGTGAGTTTGTTAAGGATTTAATTTTGTTTGGATCCACATCAATGTTCATAGAAACAGTGGGGGGTGGGGAATCCCACAAAAAACCAATACAATGAACAGGCAATGTACAATAAGGGTCTGATTTTGTTGTTGTTGTTTTTATGCATTGTTAAGTCAGAAGTTACTCCAAGCAAACTCTCCAGCTGATTTTTTGTTACTGTTTACTGCATGGGAGGAGAATGTCCATCTTTCACCTGTGGAGCAGCTGTTGGATTTAAACCATCTGCCTTAGTTGGTAGCACAATTCCATACTCACCAGGCCAATTAGACTCTGCAATTAATTATGCTGTTATTAGTTGTTGCTGTTAGGCGCTATTGAATCGTATATATAACACTTAGTGATCCCATAGACAACAGATCTAAACCCTGTCTTATCCTGTGCCATCCGCACACTTCCTGACATATTAGAGCAGACTGAGGCAGTCACTGTGTCAATCCACCTGGTCTAGGGTCTTCCTCCCCTTCATGGACACCTTCTGAGCATCATGTCCCTTTCCAAAGAATAGTCTCCTGAATTATATGAGGTGAAGCCACATAATCTTTGCCTCTAAAGAGCACTCTGGCTGCACCCTCTCCAAGACATACTTGTTTGTTCTTTTGGCAGTCTATATACTCTTGTCCAACACCACAGTTCAAAGGCATCAATTCTTCTCCTGTCATTCTTATTTTTTGCCCAGCTCTCAGATGCAAAGTAAGTAATCAGAAAGATCATAGCCTGAATCAAGTGCACCTTAGTCCTCAGACTGACATCATTGCTCCTCAGTAATATGAAGAAGTCCCTAACTGTAGAATTTCCCAGTGCAGTACATCTGATTTCCTATTAAGGATATTAATTGTGGAACCAAGTAAGATGAAGTTGTTGACAGTTTCAATCTTTTCTCCAACTATCATTATGTTGCCTATCAGTCAGTGGTAAGAATCTTTGTTTTCTTGACATTGAGATGCAATCCATATTGAAGGCTGAATTCTTTGATCTTCTGATTCAAATGCTTCAAGACCACCTTTCAGCAAGCAAGGTGTGTCAACTTCATAATGCAGGTTACTGATGAGTAATTGATGGTCTCACTCACAATCTGCCCTTGGCTTAGTTGTTTTTTTGTGTTGGTTTTTTAAAAAATTTTATTATTTTTTGTGCGTGTACCGTCAAATCAGATCTGACTGGTACAGGAGGAGATTGTCCCTCCTTCCCCGGCAGAGCATCTGGTGGATTCGAACCGTGCGCCTCTGGGATTGTAGTTGCAGCTCCTTGCCACTAGGCCACCAGAGCTCCCCTCTGGCTTAGTTTTGACTGCCGATATTGAACTTCTCCAATGATTCCTTCCACAGATGTAGTGAACACAATTAATGTTATGAAACAAAATGAGACTTGATGAAAAACCAGTATGATTTGTAAGCCTTCATTCAAATAAATTAAAAAGAAATAAAATTGAACAACATAGTCTAATGGGCAAATCTACTTCAAAAGATCTCTCTTGAAAGTACTGACAAATAAGAATGTCACTTTGAAGTGTAAGGTGAGCTTGACTCAAGCCATGATATTTTCAACTGTCTCATATTTATGTGCAGGTTGTACAATGAACTAGGAATGAAGTAGGAATCCTGAAGAATTCATGCCTTTGAGTTGTGATGTTGCTGAAGAATATTAATTGCAAAACAAACAGGTTTCTCTTGAAAGATATGCAGGTAGAATGTTCCTTAGAAGGGAGGATGGTGAGACTTCTCTCATATATTTTGGGCAGGTTGTCAAGAGGGGCCAGTTCCTGAAAAAGGACATCAGGCTTGGTAAAACGGACAGTCATTGAAAAAGAGGAAGATCTTCAATGAGACTGACTAGAACAGTAGCTGCAACAATGGGTTTAAGTGGAGCGGAGATTGTGAGGATGGTGAGGAAGTGAGGAGGCAGGATTGGGCAGCAGTTCATTCTGTTCACATTCTGATCACGTATGATCTCTGAGTCAGAGCTGACTCAAGGGAACCTAACAATAAATGCTGTATATTTCCTTCCACTCACCTGTATTTCTTAGCCAGATCATCCCTTTCTGCCTTCTGTTTGACAATCACATTATCCATCACTTCTTTGATATGCAACATGTTTTCAAAATACTGTTCTGGAAACATGGTAATAAAATAAAATCAGTTATACTGAGACACAGCAAATGGTAACTGGACACACATAACTTAGCTTTTGCTATTTATTTCAAAAGGCTTTTCATTCCGATCATTAATGTCCTAAAAATAAATAAACCAAATCTTATTTACATTTACTCCACAGAAGTATCTTAAGATGTATTGATAAGAACACAGTACTGTTAAGAAATAGCAAGCAGGCCCAACATCTAGCCTTGCTGCCCCATTGTAAGTTTCTGACAAACCACATCCTTCACAGTCAACTTCTTTATCTGTGAAATAAGGGAAGGAAGGAAGGAAGAGTTTTTTGGGGGGCTTTTCAGTTAAAATTACTTACTTTTTAAAATACAAAAGGTAAATATACTATTATAAATGAATTTCAAATATGAGTACTTATTAAAAAAATGGTACTCCACTCATCTTCCTATTTTTTTCTGGTTTTTTTTTTTAATCCACAAAGGAAACTGGTTACTACTTTACTCTCTGTGTGTGTATGTGTGTATAATTTGCTCTTTGCATTTTTTAATGTATTGTTTTATATATCTGTAAGATCTATAATCACATATGAGATGTTCTTTGAAAATTATATCAATTCTTGTTCTTTGTACTTAGCACTTAGGACTACATATTTAAGGACACATAGAGACTTTATAACATTTTAGAATAAATTATTATTTTTTTCTACTTTTTTCCATTGCTTTTCATGACCTTCCCTCATCACAAACCCCAGGATTTACATATAATCCTGTGCAATAGGCTCAAATCCAGATCCCCAAGTAGGAAATTAAATGACTTGGATGAATACATACATTTTATTTCTTTAAGCCTCTTGGTAGTCATTTAACTTAGCTGGAAGTTATTCCAAATCTTCCTTTGCAAGCAGGACAAATGATTTGATAATTATAGAGTTAGTGTTCCCAGAGTAGTTTTTATCTCCTTAATACTAAGGTCAGGAGCCATATCTATCCATCATGGATAACTCTGCTGGTTTTTTAAATACTAGTGGACTAATGTCCACAAACACAAGCCACCACAGAACAAAGTGACAGAAGGGTAGTGAATATAGCACTGAGGGTAAAGTGCTGTGCTGCCAATCCAAAAGCCAGTTGTTCGGTTCTACCAGCAAGCTGCTCCTTGGAGAAAGAGGGGCAGTCTCCTTTTGTGTGATTTACAGCTTCTGTTAACTCGCTGGAAGCTCAGCATGAATCGTTTCTGATTAGACAGCA